TCCCTATTTATTCTCTACATTTGATTTCAGTGAGTGGAAAATACTAAGTTCTAGAATAATGTCACTGGGCATTTTACATCTTTTAGTGAAAGAGGACAGAAAAATTAGGTGTAAATCAGGTACCTGGAAAGTTGAACACCAGGGCGTGAGATGCAGGGTCAGGTTTGTCACATCCAAGCTTGCCAGCCTGGATGGGCAAGTCCAAGTGCCAAGCAAAGAGAATAAGCTTTCTGTTTGTGAAGTTCTTGTGACTTTGGGTGGAATTTGTCCTGAAGTATTAATCTTACCATCTGAGTTTACAGAGACTGCCAGGGACCCTTGTCCATCACCTTGATCTGGGTCAAAAGGGTGAGCAGTGTGGACATTCAGTCTCCACTGTCTTCACAGTGAGCGGTCAGTACCTAGGCAGAGGTGTTAGAGGCACCCGGGTCCTCTCAAATATGGTTTGATGCTCCTGCCAAGTGAAGTGCTGCAGTGACGATCACAGGAAAACACGCCTAAAACAGTGCAGCACCAGTCTACACTGCCGTCTGCAGTCGCAGCGTGCTGTGCTTGTAAGTGAGTAAATCACTCAGTTTGGGGATTAAGTACCACTTCTGATGCCCCAGTTAGAGGCATTAAACAGAAAAACACAAATACATAAGTGGCAAATGATAGAGACTTTTTTGCAGGTGTGAAGACATCGTTATTTATATTTCTGTCAGCAGACTAAAGGCTGTGGCCACTCTATGACTAATCGAAAGCACAAATCGTATTTACATCACCTTATATTGCCTCTTCCCCCCTCAAGTAATCCTTCATGTTTATTATATGTTTAGTAATTTTTAAAAGTTTTTGCTAATCAATGATGATATTTTCTACAGTTTCTTTATTCTTTGATATACTACCACTTATGCTAGATTTGCTTCTCTTACTACCTATTTATGGATTCCTTTCTTCATTTTATCTTCAAGTAACTATTAGATAGTCTGCTTTTTCTTCTTTTCCATGTACAGGAAGTATTTAGTTAGTAAAGACTTACTAACACCCACATGGCTCCAGGCAGTAGGCTGAGTGCTAGGAACGCAGCAATAGACAAGGCAGACGTGGCCCCTGGCCTCCTGGAGCAGGCCTTACTCCACAGGCACGATTTCTGTCTGCAAACAAGCTTTCATTGGTGCTTGGTTGTGCAAGACTGTTATCTCATTTCTTACTCATTTATTCATATGACAAACGGTGTTGAATATCTGTAGTGCCCCTAGCACTGTGTGATGCTGTAATTGAGAAGATGGACATCAAGAAATAAATTACAGCACTGTGGTTGAAATAGTGGTATGGTGGCATAAACTGTGTACAATGAAAACACAAAAGGCAGATCAACAGCTCTAGCTAGAGACATGAGGAAAAGCATCTGAGACAAGATGATATTTGAGCTGAGTTTTTAAAGATTAGTAGGCAAAGAAGATGGAGAAGGACTTTGAAGGCTCAGGGGAGAGCGTTTGGAAAAATGTTCTTCTCTGTGAGAAGTTCATCGTAGTTCAAGTGTAAAGGACACAACATGCTTTGATAGGAGAGAAGTCTTTCACGTGGCCCAGCGCCACATTGTGGAGGGGGTTGCTCGTGAGTGCCCTGGCGCACTCAAGAACCAGTGAACACATGCTGTTCACTGAAGGGCTTTCAGGAGGGAGAGCGAAAGATGTTCCCATGACCATATTTCACTTCCTGCTCATGGCTCCAGGCTTCACCAGGTGTTGCTTCCCAGCTTCAGCAGAATACTTCTGCACGCCACGCCTGTTTGCCTTTGAACTATCCATGTAATACCTGACCACGATTTCAGTTATCACAGCTCTTCCACAAACAATAAATAGGAAAACTTGAAATTCTGAAATTAGGTTTACCTTTGCTCTGACTAAAAGATTATTGGAATTTAAAATGTCTTATTCATTTTACACAAATGATCTCTTTGTTTAGCTCTCCTATTTATAATTACTTTTTATTTGAAAGCATTAAAATATTTTGAAAGTAAAAATAAAATTGTGAAATATTTTTATATTAGTTAAACAATACTTATGTAGCTTCTTCCTGCTTTTTCTCTATTTTTTTATTTTATTTTATTTTTTTCGAGGAAGGTTAGCCCTGAGCTAACATCTGCTCCCAATCCTCCTCTTTTTGCTGAGGAAGACTGGCCCTGAGCTAACATCCGTGCCCATCTTCCTCTACTTTATATGTGGGACGTCTACCACAGCATGGCTTGCCAGGTGGTGCCATGTCTGCACCCGGGATCCGAACCGGCGAACCCCGGGCTGCCAAAGGGGAATGTGCACACTTAACTGCTGCGCCACCGGGCCGGCCCCTATTTTTAAAAATTGAGTGTCTTTTGAAAAGATTTTACCACACGTAAAGATGCAAAAGCAAGGAAAAGTAGTTTAAAATACTGTTGAACTAAGTAAAGCCAGGGGAGCTTAAGCCAGTGGTTGTTCTCACAGGAGCGATCAAGTCCACACTTAGCCCATTCTTGAGAAGGGAAATCTGAAAGTGGAAGATTGGCACAAGCCTTACCTTAGTTTCAAGAAGCATACATTAAGGACTTACGTTATGCCAAACTCCATTTTAGTCACTGGAAATACAAAAATGAATGAAACACAGCCCCTGCTCTTAATGGACTTGCTGTCTAGTGAAGTATTAAGTTGAACCACTTGAAATTGCATCTTTTTTGGGGTCAAAAATGGTCAACTATCAATTCAGCCTAAATATACATGTAAACAGAAATTTGCAGTAACAGAGATATGAACAAGGTGCTCCGTGACCTAAGACAGGGCCTCGTGCTGCCCAGAGCAGTCCATGAAGGCCTTCCAGACGGGGCGATGCTGGAACTGAGTCTCAGAGGATGATCAGGAGCTCACCATGTGTTTACAGTAAGCAGAGAGAACGAGGACGTTCCAGAAATAGGAAACAGCGTGTGCAGAGTCGTGGAACCAACAAAGAGCCCAGCACATGTCAGCAACCGCAGATAGTTCATTGGAATGGCAGACGGGCTGAGGGTGACAGGAGACAAGGCAGTGAAGCAAGCAGAGGGCAGGCCATGGAAGGTCGGATGCACCAAGCCAAAGAGCTTGATTTTACCCTTGAAAGTGGGGAGGTGTGCATGATCCAGGGAGTGTGCAAGGCAATCTTTCGGGATACAGAAAGAAAATAGTACTTCTGTGTATATTTGCCTTTTCTTCTCTTCTTAAAATTTCTAATTGTGTAGGGGTTACAGTGTATATAGTTCTTATTGCAGTACTGGATGTTAATAATTTATTAATAAATAAATAGACATGTATTATGGTGTGTTTGGGGTTGAATTGTGTTCCTCAAAATTCATGTTGAAGTCCTAACCCCTAGTATCTCAAAATGTGACCTTATTTGGAAATACGGTCATTGCAGATATAGTTAGTTAAGATGAGGTCGGAGCCAGCCCTGATGGCGTAGTGGTTAAAGTTCAGCTCTCACCACTTTGGCAGCCTGGGTTCGGTTCCCAGTTGCAGAACCACACCATCTGTCTGTCAGTAGCCATGCTGTGGCGGTGGCTCACAGAGAAGAACTAGAAGGACTTACGACTAGGATATACAACCATGCACTGGGGCTTTGGGGAGGAAAATTAAATAAATAAATAAATTAGAGATGAGGTCATGCTGGAGTCGAGTGGGCTCCAGTCCAGCGTGACTGGTGTCCTTGTAAAGAGGGGAACCCCGTGTGAAGATGAAGGCAGAGGTTGAGGCGATGCCTCTACAAGCCGAGGAGCTCTGAGATTGCCAGGGTGCCCGCAGAAGCCGGGGCGAGGCATGGAACAGATCCCTCCCTCACAGCCCTCGGAAGGAACCAACCCTGCACATGCCTTGATCTCAGACGCATAGTCTCCAAAACTGAAATAGAGTCTTAAGCCACAGGTTTGTGGTCCTTGTGACAGCAGCCCGGGGCACTAACGCATGTGCACGGTCAGAAAGTTGGGGAGGCATGGGAGGGTTGGTTTGTGTTTGACTCCAAATTATTTTTGTCCTGTCTTTATTCAGTCTCCATATTCAATAATTTGCTTTAACTGGAAGTGATTTCTTGACTTCTCAGTACTTTACTTCTTAAAGCCATTCTAGTGGGAAACAATTTGTTCCCATTTGTGTTTGGTATAGCTTATGTTACAGGAAGAAGGAATTAGGAAATATTTGACCTTTAGCTCAAAACAGACAGGTGACAGTATGCAGCAGTCTTAGGGAAAATATTTACGTTCAAGAAAAAAAGGGACATTTAACCCCATTAGGCAGAAGTGGAGGCAAAATCAGAAACAGGATCCTGGCGACAGAAGTCCCAGCTGTGAGGAGTTTATAGTGTATCGTCAGCACGGGAAGGACTGTAGGCAAAGCGCGCATCATTCTAGCTACGTAAGCCTCAAGCTACGTACGTTCAGGATGTCTAGTTCTGTTTATACAAGTCGGACGTTAGTCATCTGCCTGAGCTTCCGAAACGGAGTGGTTGACAGAGTTTCCAAGGCCGGGACAACACCCTGAACTCACATCTACCTGTTTGGAGCCTGTTTGTAGGTCAGCAAAATCCAGGCGTCAGCAATACAGTAATTAATATATTAAAACCAAAAATATTTTTGTGTATTTGAGGCATTTTCGATCTTTGTGGGCCTTTGAATATTTGGGAATTTTTGGCCTTATTTATGCAAGCCAACTAACTACTACTTTATGCAAGCCAACTAAAGCATTTTGAAATACTACTTGTAAAATAAAAAAGCCTGTATGTATTTTTAATATTCTGCCATCCTTTAGTCAAGTAGTTTTCAGACGTTTTAGGGTGATAGAGCCCTTTCTTCCCCTGAATTGTTATCTGGAAGCCCGGTGTGCATCAGCTGTGCTAGGTGGTGTGCCCCGTCTCAGAGCGCTGTGTCCTGGAGGGTTTAAATCTTCGTTCTTTATGTCTAGTCTGCAAGTTCCGTACTTTGTGAGTATGTATTCTGTATTCATTATGTAATCTGTTAGCAGGACGAAAAGGAATTTACATGGATGGGATAATGTGCTACTGACCTATGATCGTAGGGCCTGTGCTTGAAGTCGCTGTCCGCCCACTGTCTCTAGGTTGGTTCCCTTTGTGACCAGCGCGGCAGTCTGACCTGCAGCTGCTTGGTCAAGAATGTGATGTCTGCCGCTCCACAGAAACACGTTTGTCTTGGAGGGACCTCCGTTTCTCTGCTTTCACCACTGTTCTTTTAGAAGTTTTTGTTTTCACCCTATTCATTTAACTACACTTTTGTCACCTTTGGACTCTCATAAACTCAGAAACCTGTTTGCCCAGTTTAGTACATGGTTATTTTTTCCTTCGCCCTTGACTTGTAATCATATTGCTGTGAGCTGATAAATACTTGGAACTATATGTACTTTTTACATGCTTAAATTGTTACAGAAAGTAGCACCATACAGAGAGGTTGGGGTGGCAGTGCAGCCTGTCAGAGCTTTTGGGTTCATGGTGTGTTGATACATATCATGGTAGGTTGATACATACCTGATCGTGGCTCATTTGTCTAAGATCAAGACAGGTCAGGTGGCCAATCTGACAGGCCATAAATTACAATTCAGAAACTTTTCTACCATCTTCTGAAGTGCACATATAAAAGGATATAAATAACAGACTATTAAGATAATTTGGTCATCAGTGAATCTTTTTAGTAAAAATATACCCAGAGTCTGTATCCTTTTAGCAAATGTTTACTGAGCCCTTACCATGTGCTAACAGTCATAATGCTAAGTTTTAAGTATACAGTGGCAATCTAAATGAACATGATCCCGGCCTCATGGAATAGATTATATTACATTCTCTCTCTCTCCCTCTCTCTCTCTCTATATATATATTCAGTCTCTGATATGAGTTATGAAGGAAATAAAGAGCTCTACAGCAGAAGTGGAAGCAGCTACTTTAAATAGAATAGTCAGAAAAGGAATGAGAAGTGAAAAGAAAAGCATTCTAGCCAGAATAGCTTGTGCAAAGGCCCTGAGGCAGGAAAGAGCCACGCTTATTCAAGGAATAAGAAGGACATCAAGTTCCTTGAGGAAAAGATTGTTCTGTTTTGTCTAGAACAATGTGTGTTATGTAATAGGCACTACAGAAGTATTTGCATATGGCTGGATGAATGTATACCTAGGATTTATTTAGCAAGTACAAGTTGAGGTTGGAGAAGTAGGCAAGGACTGGACCATGCCACGCTGTGTTAAAAACGAGGGGATCTAATTACGTTTTATAAAGATCACTCACAACAGTGTGGGGAATTGTTTAGTGAGGAGCAAAAACAGAAGGAGGAAAACCCAGGTACGTGGCGCAGTGGAGGTGGAGAAAAGTGGACCAAAGAAATCCCTAAATAACTGCATGTTAGAGCCGAGGCCAGTGGGTTTAACTTCTTGCCCGTTTCACCTCTTAGCAGCTCAGCAAAGTGACTGTCCCACTTATCTTCCTACCCCTAGGACTGGCGCAGCCCCGCCCCCAGACCAAGCCTGGAAGGAAATTCGCCTTTGGCTAAGAATGCAGTCAAGCCCTTGAAGACAGTGATTTCCGAGTTCCTCATGGGTCTTACTGTAATTAAGGGAGTGGCCGTCTTAAATGGAGTCACAGGGAGAGGAAGAGTGTGGGATCTTCTACCAGAGAAATGACTTGGTCTTGAAAGGAAGTCCATGCGGTGGGGACAGTCAAGGCAGAGACCTTCTGGCATGCGCAGCAGTGTGCCTGCCGCCTGAGACTTGCCCACACGCAGAAGCAAAAGCAAGGGCAACTCGTGCACAAGGCATGTGAAGCCGACTGAAGCTGCGAAGCTTGAACTCTGGTTCTTGTGGCAGGCCTGCCCCTGCACCTGCCACCTGCTCGGGCGTGGGTGGGGACAGCTGCTTCCTGGAGCTGCCGTGCCCTACGGGATGGAGCTGGGCCAGGAGCTGAGAAGCCACGCGCAGGGGTCAGTCAGGGACGCCGGGACCGAGCTCTCTCTAGCGTGTACCAGAAATCCGCTTAGCGGAGCCCAGGCTGCCCGTGTCTACACAGTGAGGAACCCAGGCTCCGCGCAGGGGCGCTACTCCCCCTCAGGGCAGCCCGCGCCCTGTTTGTGCTGCCCTGGCTGTGACCAGGTTCTTTCTTTCGCTGAGCCGCTCATTTTCCTCTCTTACCTGGCCCGTTCGTCCTACGTCCTCTTACTCTAGAATCTCAGAAATAAGGCTAATCCCTTTTGTTGGGATTTTAAAGTTTAATTTACTTGGGAATGGCTGCCTGGGTTACTTCTAATCTTTTAAGCTGTTGCAAGAAAGCATGAAGCAGTGGCAAGAGATCCACTTAGTAGATGCAGTGGACAGAGTGCCCGCTGTGGAGGCAAGTTTTGTCTTAAGATTTGCGGGTCCCTGCGGCCTGCCAGTGAGGCAGCTCGGCCTGCGCCTGCAGAACGACCACCGTTACTCTCTCGGGTCTTAAAGGAAGCCGGGCCTCCAGGTGGGCAGGCGTCTGCTGTAATAACAACAACAACCAGAATAATGAAAAGCCAGCTCGCTGCCCTGCTCCCTGCACCTCCCCACTCCGGAGCGTTTACCTGACTGGTGGAATGGGACCAGGACCTGCCTTTGAGGTCTCGGGTGTGACCTGGTGCTTCCAGCCCCGAGATGCGCCGCTGGGTCCACAGAAGGGAGTGGCTGTCCCCGCGGCCACACTGTCCCTCCGCGTGCTCCATCCTGCGCGGCCCCTGCCCGTGTTCTTCAGCAGCCGTGCCTCCCCCGGTTTTCCCTCTTCCTGCAATGTCATCCCTCAGCCATGGGTGGCCGCTCCACCATTCTCTTCATGTTTTTACAGCTTTCTAAAACATGCCTTTATTATCATTGTAATGGGGTCTCTTGGGGAGAAAGAGAGAAATAGGCACTGTCAGCCAGCCAACTCGAACCAGAAACAGTACATAACGTGTATAGTCAGTTGTACAAACTTAAAGAAATTTGAAAAACAGAGAACAATAAAAATCTGTAATTGTATTACACTCACAGAAATCTGTGCCTCCATTTATTTATACATTCATTCCAGTCACCAGATATTAACTAAATATCTGTTATGCTCTAATCACCATGCCTTCTAGGGAATTGAAGTGTAGTAAGGGAATCGTGGCCAGGTAGAATAACCACTAATAATATTTTGGTATATTTTCATTGAAGCCTAATGTTATAGTATTTTTTTTTTTGATGTATTGCAGTTATACTGTTTATTCCGTCTGATGTCCTTTCTTTTTCTTTTTTTAACTTACAGCACAGTGGGTGTGACAGGAGAGGGCAGAGCTGTTTATTCCGGGCTCCTGCCCGTCAGGAGTAAGGTTCTGTCTAGCCTGAGTCTGGAGTGTACGCTGTTCCATAGTTCACGTAGAGGCCGTTCCCTTTCCGCGTCACAGAGCCTGCCTCTGGCTCACCTGTCCCACCTGACAGCTGGCCATCGGTGCAGTGCAGGTGGGGGTACCACTCCCCGCCCAGCAGGCCTCAGGAAGGTGCTGGTGGAGCTCGCTCTCACCAGGACGGAGGCCAGGCAGGCCGGGTGTCAGTGGGGAGAGGATTCGCTCTGCCCTGGTCTGGAGCCTGCACAGTGCACAACAGAGGGCTCATGACCAGGGCCACGGGAGAGTCCCCTGTGGGTGTTTTCTCACCTCCTAGCTCTTCCTCCTGCGTTGCCCACGGTCCTCTTCTTCTACCCCTTCTCCTCCCAGAGTCCTGATTTTCACAGAAGACGGCTTGTTTTTTTCTGGAACGCCACCTCTCCCTACAGAAAAAGAGGAGGCCTGGTGCGCTTGGTCCCTCTGTGTCTGCCGATTCTGTAGGCTCAGACAGCCGTTCGGGGTCTAGCTGTAGCCCTCGCCTGGTTCCTGCTCTCCTTGTAGGTATAATCATATTTTCATATAACTAAACTATGCGCCAGTAATTTTTTTACTGCAGTGGTTTTTAGTGTATTCACGAAGTTCTACAACCATCACCACAATCTAATTTTAGAACGTTTCATCACCCCAGAAAGAAACCACATACCCACCAGCAGTCACTCCCTATTTCCCCTCTCCGCTCCAGCCCCCGGCAGCCCCTCAGCCGCTTTCTGTCTCTGTAGAGGGGGCAGGTGCCACGGGGAGGAAGGCGAGCCCCAGGCGGGAGCTGAGCTGCTGCTTCTGATCTCTGCGTGTCTGCCTTCCCCAGAGTTGGAAGTTACAACTCCTTGCCCCTTTGAAGATTGATTTTCTTCCAAAAATTCCCTTCAGCTCTCCAAAAGATATTCACATGGAGTATCTATAAACTTACATATACAGCTAAGTTTGATCTTATTTTGTACCTTTAAGCTTACTTCTTGTGAGGAAGTAACCATAGTGCCCAGACGTGCACACACGCGCACACACACCCACCGTGGCCTGAGATGTTTCAGAGCCTTGTTGTCTGAACTGACGATGAAGGACACCATACCTCAAACACTGTCTCCTAATTCCCCGATTCCTAGGATTTTCAGATCAGGCTGCCAAACCTGTGTCTTGCTGCTTTTAGGTAAGATATACAAAATCCTAGGTAGCAGTGACGAGTGGGAGACAGCAGAATGAACCGTGGGGAATGGCGTGGAGGAGACACCCCTCTCTGCCGTGTGCACAGCCAGAACTGAACACCGGGGGACGAGGGGGGTGGCAGCTCAGTGTGGGAGGCTCTTACCAGGGACTTTTTCCAACCAGAGCGTCTTGGCCTCCCCAGCATCCCACCCCTCAGGAGTGGTCCTTTGTGATGGCCGAGCGCCCCTTAGCCACCAGTGGCTGTGGGGACTGCCCTGCTGACCAGACAAAGCTGGAGGGGTGTGACTCCTCGTTGTCCTGGGGAGGTATATACACGGAGGACAGGACTCCCAAGGTAGACAGTTGAGAGGCTTCAGCATGGCAAAAGTGCCCGACAAGTCATGGGAGCCACAAACCACAAGCACCAAGTGGTGGGGAAAGAGGACTGCCTCTCACCACAGATCCAGAGGAGTAGCAAGGTCAGATGACCCTACCCACGCTCCTCTCCTTCCCATGTATGTCTCTACCCGGCCCCGCCCCCCACCCCTCAGGATAATCCTGCCTCTCCTGGTGCGGACCTCCTCCTCAGCTCCCCGCTTCCACTCAGCCGCCATCCTCTTCTCCCGACCCAGGGCCCTCTGGGCTCACCTTGTTGCCTTGCCAGGTGCTGAAGTTACACAGGAAGGTAACAAGACGACTTCACACGAGTTCAAGAAAAAAATGCTCTCCTAAAGTTACAGCTCCTTCCAGAAGGCGAAAGAGCAAAAAGGGCCAGCAAGTTTGAGCCATTGCTGTAGACTGAGCCAAAAGCAGCAGGCCAGGCCCAGCGAAGCCACAGAACGACACCACTCCAAGATAAGAGCCACGCCAACAGTACCAGCCAAGCAAGCGTCACACCTCCACAGCCCGTTGCACCCGGAGTCCTGGCTGCCGAGAAGGCGCCAGCATGGGGACTGACTCGGACGCTAACGTGGAACATGGGACACAAACGGTGGTTATGAAAATAAAATCAGCACAATGCGAGAAGTCCCTCCGAAAAGTGAAATAAAATTAGGCACTCTGCACAGAAACGAATTGGTGTATTATTGTTTGAGATGGTCCCTCAAAAGGAGAGAGTGAAATGATAGAGAGAAGCTCTGCATCTTTGCGGCAAAGAAGTCCCCGGTCCCCCCACATCCACCTGAGAAGAAAATGTAGACACAGCTTACCGAGGGTGGATAAGTATCCTTGCCTCCGGATTCCCCAGCCATGGCAGACCAAGGTAACAGCTTTTTTGCTTGGTAGTGAGCACTCATTTTAAACGTGAGAGAAATCAGCAGAGCACAGCAATGCCCGTGTACACTCTGATAGGCTTAGAGGCAATGGGGAAGGGAAAGGAAGAGAGAAAAAGGAGACCACAAAGTTGTCCCCAGGACGCTCTGACTTTCTCTGTCATGATGCAGACTGAGCTGCTCTCTCACTTGGGAATAATGAAGTTGGAAGCTGAAGGCCCCTGAGCTTCATGGCTCCCTCATCCTCTCTTGGCCTCATTCTGAGTTGTAACAAGGACAGAGCAGCGCCAGGCCCAGCCGCCAGGAGAGGGTAGTCATGTGGCCACATCAAGCAGAGGCCTCCCCGGGTGCTCCTCTCTGGTCTGGTTCTACCTGGGTCCCCAGTGTCACCCTCCCCATCAATTGTTCTCCCCTTTACAGCCCATAATGGAGCCCGCAGTCTCCCACAGAGGTGGAAATGGCTGGAACTCCAACCTCTATAGGTTAGAACAGTGATGCTCAAAAAATGAGTTTTGTGTCTTGAAGAGAATTTGAAAAATTATGCACCTCCTTACACAATTTTAAGTTGACATCCAAAATTTTTCATCATGAGCTTCAGTATTTACTGAGGATATAATTTCTAATTTATTATGAACATTGATATTTAAGATAAAACTATTGCATCAGTCTTTCTTTTTTAATTTACAGTCTGATGTATCTTTTTGTCCAGATAAATTCCACTCCACTTTGCTATGAGATGAGAGGGGTGCCACCAGACAGGGGTACCATTTGACCTGTATTTTTCTTGCGAAGCTTTGAATCTGCTCAAGTATTTAACAAGCACGTGGTTGAGTTTCAGTTCTTTGCTGTGTGAGTGAGATTTCTGTATACTTTTAAAGGCTGTTAATTATCTGACAGTGGCCTGAACCATCATGACAAATGCCCATCTGACCCGTGTGGCCTTTATGCCTGTGGGACGGCTTCTCTGTGCACCGCACCCCAGCAGCGGAGCGAACAAACTGACATCATGCTGTCGCTTCACAGTGTTCACTTTGAAGACCGCACGTCCAGTGTTGTATGGCATCTTTTGTGAACAGGAATGTCCTGACCATGTCTTGCTAGCGAAAAATACGACTCAGGTGTATTTATAGAGATTTGCTGAAATTTAAAATCCTTGTGGCGTAACACTGAAAACAGTCTCTCCTGTGTTACTTTTGGGGTCCTTCCATGTCTTTTTGCTAAATTTAAAACAAGTCCCTTTGTCACTGGAAATATGGATACACAGGAAACTGATGGCATTAGTTGCTTCTGGTAAGAGGAACTGAGTGGCTGGGACAGGTGCAGGAGAGAAACTTCTGTTGTCTATCCTCTGCTATCGAATTTTAAGCCATGTGAATGCACTGCTTATTCAAATTTAAAATGTAATTTAAAAGACAGCATTAACTAGTTAATTATGTAATAACTTTAAAAAAGACTCTGCTTGCCGGAATTGTAATAAGATGTATTTATTTTGGTTTTCGATCATTAAAATGTCTCTGTAGTTCTTGAAGCTTTGTCTAATTTATCCAACAAGCATACACAGTAAAAACATAATGACAACAAGAAAATTAGCAACAAGAAGACATCAAAACGATGCAATGAAGCCAGATTAGCAAAAACGGGCCCAAACAACAATCTAAGACTCAGAATATCCCAACTTTTTATGTTAGAAAACCAGAAGATTGGTACAGTGAACACCCATATTGACACTTCACCCAGATTTCACCAGTTGTCAAATGTGACAAGTACCAAATTCGCTTGATCACTCATCTGTATTGGTCTTCAGCAGGCTGTCTGGGACTTTGTTCGATCCTGTTCACAGCTTCATCAGAATGTCCTGTGAGCGCTTTGCCCTGTGAAACCCTGGAGCATATTATCCTCCTCTCCCACAGCTGCCAGGGTGGTACCCTCACAGATACTGCAGACCCTAGGCAGCTCCCCACTTTTACAGCTTTTCCTGGCCCTTTTATGGGGTGTGAAATCAGGATAACTCAGCATTGACTGGATTGATCATTAACTTTGTCAGGTGTGTTGTAAGGAGGTGCTATGGAACTGGCACACGGAAAGGAAAGCGTTAGGGCTCCTCGGAGGAGTTATATCCATTTATAATAAAATCATAACCTAGTAAGTAAAATGTTTCTCCAAGTTCTGTGAACCCCTCTAGCAAATTAATTTCACCCAAGGAGGGGTTGTGGGAACCTTCAGTTTTTAGCCAGTCAGTCAGAAGCACAGGTGACAACCTGGACCTGTGACTGGGTCTGAAGGGGATGCCCTTTGTCAGGACTGAGCCCTTCACTTGTGGGATCTGATGCCATCTCCAAGAAGGCAGTGTCAGAATGGACTTAAATTGTAGGACACCCCGCTGGTGTCTGAGAATTGCTTGGTGTGGGGAGAAAACTTACACGTTATAATTGGTGTCAGAATTGCAATAAACAAGCAAATGGATGCAAGTTTCAGGCGCCAAACGTAAAGAGGAAACTAGAACACTTAGATGAGATTACTGTTAGAATATCTACATCTAAGTTAAAAACAAATTATCATCAGGCTGATGGAACAGCTTTAAAGTAACAAAGTGGTGCGAACTTTGTGATTTCATCTCCTTCTGCATTTAAGTAAAGAGTATAAACTGGAGAATGAATATTTATCTGCGTGCTTTGCCCAAAAAGATTTCCAAAAAGAAGAAAATACTTGAGAGAGGAAACTATTTCCACTCGACAAAGGGAAAGAATAATTAACAGTTCAGGACCGTTCTGGAGAGAATCATGTATTTTATGGTGGGGATTCCTGATGAACCCCAAGAGGCCAGAAAAGCTGCTCGCCACACCGCCTCGCCCCAAACACACGGGAATTACACTTATTTAGGAGCTCAAAGACTTAACATCAGAGCTCCTTTCTGTTCCCACTAGCCTGGGTCCCGAAGAAGGCCCCCAAATACACCATTTTTTCTTAAAAACATTCTTCATACTTGATCTGATGATTTTTACTTTTTAAATCCAATCTATCAAAGGCTTTTTCTACTTGTTATTTCCTATAATCACTTGTATTTAACTAAGTACAGAATTGAATTTAATTGTTTTGATAATCATATATGCAGAATTCCAAATTACAGATAGCTCCGTTCATCAGTGTCTTAAAAGCTTTTTAGCTTAAGGTTTTCCCAGTATTTAGTTTCCACTCCTATTGTTCTCTTTTTTTAATTTCGTGTTCTTAATCCCATGATTTAACTTTCTGTTTAACCTGAACGTCTCAGACTTGAACCCTCTCTTCACATACTTGTAGTTAATCATCCATCCTGCCTGAACGTCTCGCATTTGACTGAACATGCCCAGTTCTTTTAACAATTTCTCATAGGTCTAATTTCACAAACCTTTAGTCAGTTGCTGTTCTCGTCTGAACACTCTCCAAGTTTCTTCTCTTTATCCAGCATGGCATGTGGAATTAAATATAGTTTGTTCCAACTGAAGCCTGCCCAATGCCAAATAAAGCAGAAATAATTGCTTCTCTCCTTTTTCACACGTGACTCAATGCAATCCTGTAAGGATTTGTCTCTTATTTCAACATGGACAGGACTCGTCCAGCTTAAACCAGCCATAATTGTTGCCTCTCACCTGGCTGTGTTTCATCTATGACTGTCTCGCCAGTATTTCCACATTTGTTGCAATTCAGTAGCTTATTAAAAGTTGAATGGTAAATCCGTGGAAGGATTTCCTCCACATATTTTTCCTTCAAAGATTGTTCTGTGAACACTTGGTATACATGCGAATTTAGTGTTTGGGGTCTCAAGAAGGAGGACTCGGAGGTCTCCGGGCACAGTGTTTCCTGATAGGAACCAGAAGGATTCAGATGGCTGGGCACCAGGGGAGACTGCAGGAGCGGGCTGCTTTGTTCTCTCCTGCCAGAGAGTGGTTGTAAGCAACAGAGACCAACTTCAGCTAACCGAAGCGAAGGGGAATTTTTGGAAAGATACCAGAGGATTTTCGGTAGGCTGGAGAAGCATGCTTAGGAACTAGCAAACGCCGAGAATGCTCCAGGAAGCAGGGATCTCAGCCGTGGCCTGAAGAAGAGTGTGAACATTAGCATCCCTGGTGGGACCGCTGTCGGGTTCTTCCAGTCATGCAGAGATCTAGAACCTGGGCACTGATCTGGGGAACTGTGGGAATCCTAAAGCGCTGATACAACCAGTGGGCTTAGGACATCGCAGTCCAGGAGGGAGAGAAGCGTACACAAGTAAGGAAATAGTAAACCGAGCGCTGATTATGCTGGAAGTAAAATGTGCCGAAGCTGACTTCCCAGTTGTCTCCTATTTACAGAGAAAATAGAGAAAATTCTTAATAGCTCTCAGTATAAATATGGTTGCTAGTAAAGTGCGTTTAGCCCATCCTTCACAGCTTCTCATTTGTCTTCTCGCTCTGCCTCTCCTCCACCCCGATTCCATGATATTTCCCATCTGGTAAATGACGAAATGAAAACACCAATCCTTAAAGACGCAATGCAGCTTTATAAACCCTTTGGGCTTTATAAAAGTGCTCGTGTTCTGGGGCCAGCAGTGGTTGAGTGCACACCTTCCGCTTCTTGGTGGCCTGGGTTTCGCCAGTTCAGTTCCCAGGTGTGGACTTGGCACCATTTGGCAAGCCATGGTGTGGTAGGCGTCCCACATATAAAGTAGAGGAAGATGGGCACAGATGTTTAGATCAGGGCCAGTCTTCCTCAGCAAAAAGAGGAGGATTGGCAGCAAATGTTAGCTCAGGGCTGATCTTCCTCAAAAAACAAAAAAAGTTCTAGTGTTTTCTCCTCGCTCTAGGAAATGCTCACTTTCAGGGAAGAAGTCATCCACCTCATGTTGTTGGCCGTCTTCTCGTGCAGCACTGGGAACCCCCATGAAGGCACACCTTCGTGTGTCACATTCTGGTAGGAGGTGACCACAAACAACTTACTTACAATAAGGTACCAAAGTTTTGAATTACTTATGCATGTACCTGTATGTGTACACACACACACATTTGTGAGAGATTTAAAAATCTTTCTCAGTTGCATTCCCATACGATTTCCTGAGAGAGAAAGGGTCAAATTACAGCTGGCATGCAGGGAGTTATTTATACATAACCGCAGCTCATCTTTGTGGCCACTTGGAATTATTTTCATATTTTCTAGTTCGCTTTTTAAAATTTTGCCCATGACCAAAAATAGACAAGAACATTACGAGTGAGTGCATCAGCATCTACATTACACAAATACAAGATGTCTGTGCGCGGTCTCATCAGTGGAGACCTAACGGTTACGACAGCCAGATGGAGGTTCTCAAAGTCATGTGCAGTGTTCCTTACGCTGGTAACACAGGGAGGGAAAACCTACCAATTTTATGTTTCTATTTTAGCCATAACATAAATCTGCCTTTTTCAATAGTGTGAACTTGTTTTAATAATGTTCCTAGTGGAGTAGAGGTCAGGGGAAAAATTAGGACATTTTAAAAAACAGGTGAGCTGTATTTTGGTGACTCTTACATGACCAATTTCATTATTCTGGAATTCATAACATTACTAGATGAACATTTAACGAAATATTTTTGTAATGCTCTTTTCTTCATTTACATGCAAAATTGCTTTGAGTTTTTCCCCTTTTTTTGAAATCTGGGTACATCCATGGAAGTGTGTCAGAGGTAAACATCATCCACCCTTTGTGTGGAATAACGATTAAGAAATGGTGCCCCTTAATACTCAGGGTCTTTGGAAATAGTTCAGAAATCACTGAATGTTGATGGAACTTTATCATTTAAAATTTCTTAGGAACGTCAAACCCAGGGCAATGTTGGAATACACAGCATCCACGGTACCTCATTGTGGTCACCGGGGGGCGTCTTCCATCCTCCTCCTCTTCTGGGCAGGCTGCTGTGGTCATGTTTGTGTGACACGGCACTGCCTCTCTTGGTGCCAGTCAAACCCATCAGCTCTGCCAGAGAAACTGGTACCCGTGCCAGTGGTTCCTTGCACTCTCGATGACTCGACGAGATTTCAGTGGAACAGTCTCTTTCATCGCAGCCCCTTGCATTAGAACCCTGGCATGAATCTCTGGGAACTGGGGTGAGGGAGAGGTCACCGTCACGGATGTTCAGAGTTACCCTCTGCCCCAGACACCAGCCCAGCTCCCTGTCTGGAGACAGTTCTGCATGGATTTTGCGTTTCTGCACATCTGGTGGGTGAGGCACTGACTGTTCTTCGTTCTGGGCTATCTCTTCAAGGATGTTTGTATAGCAAACAACCTTAGAAGATAGAAGTAGTGTCTGCTGGAGCGAAGAGCAAGCAAGCACATGGTCCGCTGTAAAAGATTCAGGGTCCCCAAGCTGAAGGTCCCTTCTGTAATGCAACCCAGCCTCCTCTGTGTCTCCCTGTGGGAACTGGGACTCTGCACACCAGTGCCAAAAACAAAAAAAGCGCTGATCCTCTGGCCACTGCTGTTCTCTGACTCAGGGGTCTCATATCTTCTACCAGCATCCATGTGGCAGGCTAACTTTTT